TATAAAATAATAGTTTTAATAAAAACTACAATACAATCTACTATGTCATTTTTTAAAAACCGTTATAATTTATATTTTTTTATGTAAATAAAAAATTTATATTTAACTAATTATATGTTGTTAATGTTTTAAAAGGTTAAATTTATCAAAGAATTAAATCTTGATTGATACTACAATGTAGTATATTAAAAAATAAAAATGTATTACAACCACAGTTAATGCCATTCAAAATAATAAATAAAATTTAAAACCAATTGGTTTTAAAATAATTTTTCGATTTTGGAGTATTTAGGTTATACTTTGATAACATTTTTTATACCAAATTACTTTTTAAATAAACCCTAAAAAAATTAGAGACATGACTATAATTAAAATAGACTGCCTTTTCTTTTCATCAACTGAAAAATATATATCCCATTTGATCAACATTCTTAAAAGGCATTGAATGAACGCAGCGCCCGGTGGTACTCACGCGGGTTCGTTGTTTTATTTTGTCTTAAGTCAGGCTATGTCGAGGAAAAGGATAAGGTGAGTGTTCTGTATAAATGAATGTGGAATGAATTTTCAAAACATGTAACAATTAAATGTACTATGCATGAATCATAAAATCTTAAATACACAAATGTGGATAGGGGAGACACTTAATACTAATGTCACAATAGCACTGATATAAATAAATAATAAATTATAAAAGTGAGTAAGTCTTAAAAGGAAGATGAACAAGTACTATACTTATCGGTTAACTGAAACGGCTGATGATAATGTTGAATATTGAAAGGTTCAATTGAAATCGAATGCAAGTAGCTGACCAACGTGTACAATATGCTGTGAACGGTACTGTGATATATCTCAGAAAATGTATAGACCCAACGTGGATATACTGAGCTCACAAGAGTACGACATTCGCAAAGATGGTATTTTACTTTTACAACAAAATGAATACAAAACTACTGACTCGCAAGCGCCATAGAGCTTATAGCTAAATGCACTAAGATGGCGGCGACAATGCAGACATAGAAAGAAGTCCAACAACTCGATGAAGCACAACGATAGTATAATCACAACACAATTTCTCGACAGCACGTTCAACCAATGTGTATCCAATAGTCATATTAATTATAATAATTACAAAAATAATTATGCTTATTACACGTGGGGACTGAAAGAGTAATTACTCTTTTAATATAACAAAAAATATTGAGGGTAGTATTTTAAATTAATTACACTGTAAAAATACGCTTATTTTAGCTTCGATTCTTAGTTGAGAAACTATTGGTTTTACTCTTCTATGTTTTATATTTCTTGTGTCACTATACACTATTACTCCACTTCTACTCGACAATAAATCAAAAGATCACAAAAAGTATCTTGTTGATGCTATCAGCATTATAATTAAAAAAAATCCTCTAAATCCCGTGATAAAGGGAAATGCCTCAAAAAATTACAATTGCCATAAACAGGTGATGTTGATAATTTTAGCTTTCACTTTATTTTGTTTTCTTTTTAATTTTTGATAATGATAAAAAATCCGACCTTTTTAAACTTACATTAAATTACAGCTAATGTAACGTACTTTGAAATGAATGAAAACTATCCATAATCTCGATTTATTGACGTTAAATCCAAAAATTGTATAATTTTTATAATATAAAAATTTTGTAGTATTTTTCATAGCAACGGAACATAAATGTCATTTAAAACTAAATTAAATTATACTGTATTTAATATAATGATTGAATGCTTAGAAATAAGTTGCTTTTGAAAAAACAAATAAGACATTTAATTTTAATATTTTAGGAATAAGACTCAGAATTCCAGAATCAAAAGGTTTAGGTTAATAAAATTTCAAAAAAAGTTTTTAAAAAATTTTGTTTTCATTATTATTTTTAGAAAACACATTTTATTAGGAAATTTTATTCCCTTCTATAAACCATATACAGTACGGTATATATGAATATCATTTACATATTTTACTTCGCATATATGATTAGAATAATTAAAACTAAAACAAAGCGTAAAAAATAATTTATACATCATAATTTTCAGTTTCCTCGGAGTTACAAATTCTACAAAACAAACCTTTATAATAATCTTGTATAACATTCCTCAAAGAAATACTAAAATCGTATACGGATGTTGTATACAGCCACAGGATTCTTGTACGTGGGTAAGTTAATTATATCATAATACCTAAACTAATTCAATGATAGTAAAAATAATAACTAAGAGTGTAAAAAGCTGTTCATTCTTCATTTTTATATTATAGAAAACACAACCGACTATATACTTTTTTATCGTAACTTTAATACACGAATACAAGATAAATTTATGAATTTTTATGCGCTTCTCAGTAAACGACTTGTTTTGTGGGTGTATATTACTAATAAAAATATTGGCATATTATTTTCACAAAAGCTAAACATACGGCTCGATGAAGAATAACGATAATACGTCGTGGACGTAGGAGGGTTAGTTATAAATCAGAATGTAGTTTGTGTCACCCAATAAAAAAGAATTTGCATAAAGCATACGAGCTCGTCATGGCGGACAACGGATTGAAAACAATAGCTAGTATATAGCATAGTAATGCATTCGACTAGATACGATTTGTGATCTTTTGACACATTGTTCATCAAATCGGTCCAGTGAGAGCTACGTTTGAGTGGTAACAGAGACAAAATAATAATAATAAAAAAACATATAATAGTAAAATAAATACCTTCTCAGCTTCGCATCGAAGCTAAAAATATGTAAATTAAAAAATATCCTATTTATACTACTTTAATCGATAAAATTATTTTTTGTGTTATTAAACATTATGTCCACATAAAGGTAGAACACACAATATTGATTTACCAAAATAATATTAGCAAACTGTCTACAGACAGTTAAATATAAATAGCCAAAAATATAAATATTTATTTATATAGCCAATATAAATAGACAAATAGCTTATGTTTTATAAAAAAAAAACACTGACACATCACTAAAGTAGTATGCACACAGTATTCCAATAAACAATATAATAGTGTTCATTATAAGAACCAATAGAGAGATTTACAAAATATTAGGTGGATAACTGATCATTTAAATTAAGATTGAGATCATATTAAATTTTTATGACATAAACATTATATTAAGTCAACAATTTAATATATTAAAAATGCAAAATAAAAAAATAAAATAGCGCAAAAAAAAGGCATGAGCATAACAAATCCAACGCATGGGTCAGAGTATGGTTGACATTTCACTAACGTTAATGGGTATCCTCTACGTAAATGTAGAGAACCCAATGAGATATTCACCATGTCCACCCTGACCGTACCCGAGGACCTGTCATCTTACGAAAGGGGAAGGAAAAGAAAATAATAAAAATTGAACATTTCAGAAAATCAAAATTCATCTAATTTTTGAATATATTTACCTGTGACCTTATATCCACCATAATTATATTACATTACAACTTCTTTCTTTTTTTTCCCAAAATGTTACTTTGACCTCTTATGTATGAGTACTTCATACATAATACTAAAGAAAATTGTAAAAAGTATTCCACAAATTAACAAGTTTTCTGCTGTTTTTCATAATTTTCAAACATTTTTTAGACAGTAGTATATTAAGGAATTTGTTGTGGGGGAGGGATCCAGATTTTATTTGAATTTATAGTAATGAATAGCTTCACTCCTTCGCTACTGTCATTTTATATCAATAGGGGGTTGGACTCAAAGAATCCCCACTCCTACAAAAATACCATTGTTTTGAGAGATCTAATTTTTTTATTTTAAATTAAATATTCAAATTGAATTTATTTTATGTTAAAAAATTATATCCTGTACAAAATATTTTTTTAGTTTTTAATGAGTTATGGTAGAAATAATGGGTTGTATCACTCTAAGCTCCAAAGATTGTGCTTGTGAAAAAAAACGCCAAATCACTACTGTCTCAGGGTGATGAAATCTTTACACATTGTCACTCTACTGGTGAAAATTATTTATTTTATTGTTGGAATTTATAAATTTTATTTTTATAAATTGCTTAATAACACATTTATTTTTACATTGTTATTTTTTATATATTTTGAGTTTTGAACAGGTTTATATTATTTATATCTTATGTTAGTGTTATTTAATCAAAAGGTTTTGTCTATTCTTTTTGTTTTCTTATAACGGGTTTTAAACTAGTTCTAAACAAAAACATAAAATGTATTTTGACTATGTATTAACATATTTTTATAAGTTTATATAAGTAATTATGATTTTTTTTTTGATATTTTCGTTATTCATCTATACATTTTAAGAAATATACTAACGGTTAAAATTGTTTAATAATTACATTTTATTCGAAATTATACTATCCTTTGGAAATTATTAATAAATATGAATATCGGTGTTAACATATATTTCATTTTAGCCAATTTTGTGAAATTGAAGTTGAAATTAACGTTTCACCTTAGTCGAACTAAATTCAAGTAACTAAATTAACTAAATTCATATAATTGAATGTCATACCAATAAGTCAATAGCTATTGCGCAAATTAGATGACGAAAATACTCAGTGAGATCTATTACTTATAATCATAAAATATAGTAAATATAATCTATTATGTATGTACATTTATGTTAAATTTTATAAAACACTTTAAAAAATAAAATTTATATATTTTGTTCAATTTGAAAATATTTATATCCACATTTGTTTATTAAATAAAAGACTCTACATTTTTCATGGATATATAAAAATATAAAATTGAGGTATTATTAACAATTTATAAACGGCTTATCATTTTCACTTATTTAATTAAGTAATTTTAATTTTTGTTTTATGTAAATCGACGTAAAATGTTGGCCTCTTTATTAAAAATAACAATAATTGTAAAATATAAATTGTATGTATTTTCACATATACTCGTTGTCTATCTCATTATCAGTCGAGGCCGCCTTATTTTTTATTTACACATATAACCCGTTTAATATTTATTTTTAGTGTTAGTATAACTTTGACATCCAAAGTTGTATTTCCCCATATTATACAAAAAACATTTCAGAACGTTATAAATACAATATTGTTTAAAGGAAACAGTATTTTGACAACATCCCTTAATTGTGTATGAAGTGGTAAGTATAAGTACTATTTTAAATAATCAAATATAATTTAAAAACTTTAGAAGTTTATCTGATTAATTAAATTGCTTAAAATGTTTTGATATTTTTTTATAAAAAAAGGCTTAAGTATAATCTTTTTTAGTACTTTTTTTCATAGATAATAAAATTCCTAACAAAACATAGTTATAATATAACTATACATAACATATAGTAAATAAAAAAGATTAATGTTTCTTCTTGTAAATACCGTTTACTTAACATCATAAATTATATCCAAATATCGACCAACCCAACCCAAACCTAAAATGATTATACCCAACCTAACTTATTCGATTAACTGTAATAAGTATAATTAAAATGTTTATCGTATTAGAACATAATTTTAATTCCAACCATTTAAAATGTTTATAGTTTTACAAAATATCATCTTTTTTAAAATAGAACATTATAAATTTGTTTAAAAAGTTCAAAAAAATTTTTTAATTATTTTTACATTAAAAATTAAAACATTTTAATAAAAAATTATACCTAAAATTAAAAAAAATTAAAATAAAAAAAAACTTTTTTTGACAAATTTATCATAATTTTATAAATTATTCACTAAAATTTAAGTAGCATTTAATATCATTTATGTTGTTACAAATTGATCTGTGACCTTGAAAAATTAAAAATAATTTTGATTGGAATATTTTGGACTTTATTGAGACCGATATAACATTTATAAAATAATACGCCATAAAATATTGATAGATATAAATCTGTTGAAATTGTTCCATTCTTTTTTGAGATCACCATTATTAATTAATTAGTTTATCTATTTATTTCATCTTCAATAGGCAAATTGTCTTTAAAATTACAATATAATTATGTTAAATAATGATAATACAATATACAGAGAAAAATAAGAAATAATACATAAAAATATATTTAAATTATATTTAATAATTATAAAGAGATGACACAAAAAATATTAAGTAAAAATCTAATAATGCATAATTATAATTCTGCTTCATTTGAAGTTAAAATTCGTTACATTTTTTACCGATATAAGCATATTGACTGAGGTATAAACATATAATACATACAATTACACATTATCAAATCTAGAGACTTCATAAAATTATTTTTAATAACAATTACAAACTATAAATTTATTAATGTTTAAATGTAGCTCATTAGTTTTACATTAAATATTAAATGATTTAAGTATGTTTGAAGTCAAATACAATCATTTACGATATTAACATTAAATTACTAGTCACAATATTTTCTTATTTATTGTCAATAGTGGTATAGTTCTCCTTTGAACTCAATCTTTCCACATAGTTTCAGTTTGAACGATTAGAGCAATTACTTCTCTGTTAATTAAAATTTTCTTCATAATTTAAATTAATTTAAAATTTATAAATAATCAATTAAAGGAAAATGAAAAATTATCACGTGCTGGTTGATTTTCTAAAAATATTTATTAAATAATTGAATGTAAATTATGTACATCAGTAATTAGTATATAAAAAAAAGAGAATCACGATTCTTTTATCATAATTCCTCTTGATGTGCTTTCTTTGTATTTTTTTTAAGTTATGTGTTTTCCATTAACTTAGTATGTTAATATAATATTTTAATGGAACCAATTTCGTTATATTATAATCAAATAATGCTCATATTAGTTTATACAAGGTGTTCAAAAAGTAAGGAAAAGGGTATTAATTTTTTTATGATTAATAATAATTTACTTGTTTCCCTAATTATTGAAAACCATGTTTAATTTATAAATTACCACTGACATTTATTTATTAAAACATACAAATCAGTAAATAACTTGTTTATATCTGACTTGATATTTTATTTTATACTGCGTACGTTATTTTTAAAAATCAAAATTGTAATAATCTAAGCCACTTTAAAATTTTAATTTATTAATTTGGGATCTACAAGATTAATAAAATAAAATTATAATGCATTGATACCTCTTAGACTTAAAGTGTTTTAAAAAAATCCTAGTTTAAATATAATAATTCATCTAATTATAATGGCAGTGTTCCAAACTGTTTTAAAAAATATTTTAAATGTTAAAATGAAACAAAAAAAACAATTTTTTTTTGTAAATTTTTGAGTTTTTATTTAAATTTTACTACTTATTAATAATATAATAATATTTTACTAATTATTAATAATATAATTATTATATTTTGAATTAATAATTGTTGAAGTTCACAAAATATTTCACTGAATTTCTATTAATATATTCTTGTTTCATTTGATTGCATGTCACCAGTTATAAAAAATTTTCTCTATAGTTATAGTATAAAATAGATAACACCGTTTTTTTTAATCTTATTAAAAATATGATATGTTATAAAAAAGAAATATTTCAATTAAACTATTGAAATATTTCAATCATTATTTTTAATAATATTATAACATAAAAATTTTAAGTCCAATAAATAATAAAAAGAAACAAAATATTTTAACAAGTTATCTAGAATTGATATTATAATACCTTAAATATATTTTTTTTCGAACAAAAGACTTGATATTTATATTATTTTTATTATACTATGTTTTAATAACACTATTTTCTCAAAATTTTTATGTGTAAATATTTACAAATTAAAGATATTTTTAAAAATATTAAAATTATGTTTTAAAATAAAATTTTTTGAATATAAATAAATCTGTTTATATCAATAAAACCATAGTTTGAAATAAAAAAAGTTTTTATTATTATTTTTTTAATAAAACTAATTTTTTTTCAACCCGTATAACAGGTATTTTAATTAATACGCTTTATACAATTTTTTAATGAGTTTATAACTGACACGACTTACGTCGCAAAAATGTGGTCGACACTGGTCTTGAGGGTAGAGACCCGTGGGCCGTTTATTAAATGAACGACAACAGATTATGTCAACAAAAATAAAACAAACCAAAAAGATTAACACAGTAATAATAATGTTCGCATAATATCGCGGCACTTTCGCTGGCGTCGACGACGCGATGTCCGGCGTATCCTTGGACGGCAAAGGGTTAGCAGCGTTGTAGGCGACGGTACGCGGGTGCGGATCGGTTGGTCGACGTTGTCGCTTTCACAACAGGAGGAAGACTCTCGCACCATTTGCGGCGGGTCGTCGTCGGCCGTGCAGCATTTGACGGAATTTGCACCATAGCGTATAACACGCGGTGTTGGTCAGTCAAATACTCATAAAATAGGGCGACGGCTGATAAAGGTGGCACGAGTCGCGGGGCATCGTGTATAACGAAGCGACGCGGGCCGTGTCATAGAAAAATATAATTTTTCTTCAAAAGTTTCGATTTTCTATTTATTCTAAATTTAAATAATAATTTAGTTTCATTTTCTCTGTATTATCATTTAAATTTTAAGATCTTGTGTTTTTTATGGAAATATACATGCATTGATTTTTAAATTAGAAAATGTTAAATGGTGAATATATTTTTAAATTAGTTGAAGTCAATGAATTTTTGTATTATCAAAAAAAAAATTTAATTAATACAACTTTAAAAGGAAATAATGGTATAAACGAGTTTTTTCTAAAACATACAGAAAAATATATTTTTTTATTTTTGACTTATTAAAATATTACGTGAGGAATAATTAAGGAATCTTCTATAGTTATGATATATCATATAAAATGCTTTCTGGTGGATTACTTAGTCAATAAAAAGTTATGTCATATTAATAAAAACTTGTTTCTTCTGCAATTTTTCAATGTAAAATATGTATACAGTACATCTTAATTCGGTGGTCCTAAGCAAAAAGGAATACATGTAAAATTTCAACTTTTGGAAAAATGAAATTGCAACTTACATGAAACATAATTTTTATTTTAAAACATAAAAACATTTTGTATATGTTTTACATGTAAAAAATGGAATTAAATGTAAACTATAAGTTTCAAATAAATTTTTCCAAAAGTTGCAATTTTATACTTATCCCCCTTTGTCCAAACTCCACAAAATTTTAATATCCTTATAATTTTCATGCTTCACTAAAATATAAACTTCAAGTTGGTAATATTTTCGGAAAAAAATTTAAATAATGTTTTTTGTGACTTCCTGCTAGAATTTCCAGGTGAATCTAATTGAAAATTATGGTATATCATTCTATTATTATCAATTGAAATAATTTTTTTATTTAACAGATTCGCGGGCAAAAAACTCGATACACGTGGTGGCTACACGTTTTTGTGTGTAGTATAACGGCAACCTTGAAACGAGTAGTAAATATATTGTTATGTTTCGTCGTAGGAGCTTCACTCTGCGTTTTCACATCTTGACATTGCGCGATTAGTAGCGAGTTCATTTAGAAGCGACTATGAAAATTTTTCGGTGGTTAAATCTCCTAGTTATATTTTATTCTTCAATTGATCGGTAATGTAATTTATGTCAAAATCTCAAAAATGTTTTTTGATTTTATGTGGATATTTTGCTGCATTACCGCTTCCTGCTCACCCGAAGACAACAAGGCGTTGGGACTATTTTCATCTCATAAAATTGCAACTAAACAGATTTCTCACAAGCGGATTCAAACTCAAGTAACAAGTGTTCCAACAAATTATGTTATGTCAACCACTTTTCCTGTCATTACCGCCAAACCCATGTTTGGGGCATTATATAACATTTATACAACGCCAAAAATTCAGTCATCTTTAAAATCCAAACTCAATTATAATGTAAAAGATACTCATAAGAATAAAGTCCCCACTAAATCCAAAATTTCGTTAAATAATCAGTTTGAAAATACAAAACCTCAGGAAAAGTCACATTACACAACGCGCTATGATTATATTGACATTAAAGCTTTTGTGCACAATGAAAGACTTGTAAAAGTATTTTTCAACTGTTTTATTGACAAAGGGCCGTGTACCAGAGAAGGCTTAGAACTCAAAAGTAAGTTTCTAGTACTAATGAATAATTTAAATAGTTGTTAGTTATAATTATTTAACAACTTTTAAATCGTATACATTATGTTAAGAATGACCCTTGAATTTGAAAAAAAAATCTTCAGTCACTAATGAAATTTGAACTTTGATCAGTTCTGTTGTTGAAATTCACAAATAATTATACTCATTTAAAAAATTATTCATTGTAAAGTTCATATAATATATGAATTTGTTTGAATAATAAAAATTAATCTCACTATCATTAATATTTAAATTAATACATTTAAACTAATTTTCTTTTTACAAAGTGAAAAATTTAGTAGGTGAAATGACGATTTAGTTGAAAATTATTTATTTTTGTAACGGTATTCTAATTCATTCAATGTATTGAATACATTGTTCATTCAAAATTTAATCTGTTGACTGTACATACTTATTAAAAAACAGTATAGATTATAAAAATGATATATAACAAAATTTTAGGGTTTTTATTTGTTAATCAAATAAATAAACTAACTAATGTAAACTGCTTTTACTAGTTTTAATTTTTTTAAACTAATGTGATATATCACGTATTTTAAAATTCAAGGTTTGAATTGTATCTGTAGATGGTTTTTATTTTTTTTAATTGAGTATTATTGAATAATTATTACTATTTTCTCTAAAAAAATTCGATCTATTAATATAATTCACTTTTCTTATAAAGTTATAGACCATATAGTAAATATGATACTCTATGAAAATTCATAACTAAGGTTTTTCTTTCTAAGAAATAAATTAGTTACTTCACAAGTATCACCATACGTCACGTTTTTATTGTTTAAGACTAGTTACCATTGAGACATTATAATAATGTGAGGATCTTTAAAATATAAAGAAATCGTACAACGTGTTTTACTTCAATATATTTTTATAAAGAATCTTGAAAGTTGTAAAAACTAAGAATTGTATAATTAGATTTAATATTAGAAAGACTACTAAAGTTTGTACTGTATTTAAATAAAATTTGAATATCATTTTTCAAAAATATAAATGTATTAATTATATTCGTAGAAACAAAGTAATTAAATTACTTAAATATATATATTAGTTTTTCATTAATATTTTTTAGTTATTTTTAAATTTAATTCTTATTATTAAAAAAAAACAATATGGATAAAAATGAATAATTTTCATTATTCAGATTAACATGCGTATAAAATGATGGCCAAAGACTGAATATTCAGTAAACAGATTATAATTTTACTTTTGAATTACATTTGAAGATAATTAGTTTGATTTATGTTAATTTAAATATACGGAATGGTAATTATGCGTTCTACATTACTGAATAGCTAGGCATAACAATAACTTGAATGAAGTAGTTCCTCGTAAGAACTCAAAATTGTAATTTAAACAAAGTAAATTTTATTAGAATGTTCAAATATTAGTCAAATATGTTCTATATATTATTGAACTATGTGAACTAATTATGAGAGCCTTGACATTCAGTATATTGTTGCTTACTAACGGGAACCGGAGCAATGTCCTTATTTATTTCTTGCCGGAGGGCCCTTATTTGTTACATTCCCATTAAATTCTTATTATTTTTTATAAGAGTCATTTATAAAAATTGATAGTAATAATCGTTAATAGAACCGATATATTTTTATTATTGTATAAGTGTGCGAATAAACTACGTAAAAAAGCGATTTAAAATAGTAATTATATATTACTATATAGATTCATTGGAGTACATATTTTTAATATGGACAAAAAGCAGAAATACTTTTACATAATCTTCAGGGTACTGCAAAATTTGATCTCATTAGGAGTAATGTTTCTAACCTTAGCCAATTTATTTATTTAACATTAAGATATTTAATACTATAGTTTATTTATAACTTTATACATTTTTCATTTTTAAACTAAAATGATAAAAAAAATACATAGACATCTAATATTAGAAGGTTAAACATAGTCTATAAGTATCATTTATATATTTCTAAAATTTAGTTTTTAAGTGTAATAACCTAGGATAGTTCAAGTATATTGAACCAAACCTATCATTTGTACAAGGTAATGTTTGTGAAATCTAGGTGTGCAAAATGCACTTTGTTTTTACAGTTGAAAGCATTAAAAAATAGTTATTATAATACGTTTTTCAGACAATAATTTCAAAATATTTATATTAAGAGGATACATATATAATAATTTTAGAATTATTAATGTTATTAACTTTCTTACAAATTATTATTTTAAGTATTATCTCTATTTTGGAATTAATTTTTTTTACTTTGAAGTAATACATAATGAAAATGTATGACTTAAAAAAGAATAATGAAATATCGAATTTAATCTTTCCGTGTTAATGTTTCCATCTGAATAAAATTAACAAAACCAATTTGTACCAAATGGCTTTTTTTTTTTTTAATAACGTCTTATTCGGTTTGACGTTACCTGTAGCGTGCACAATGGATTAAAAAAAACATAAACCTATTATAACTGTATTTTTCCAAAAAAATGTTTTTTTTTTATATAATTTGAGTTTTAAGTTATTATAGTATAATAACTAGCATATTATGTCAATGACTTGAGTGTTTCAGTACATGTTTAAGCAAACAAGAGATATAATAAATTATTAGTTTGATGAAAAAATGTTTTTTTAAAATAAGACCAATGACAATTTTTTCATCATTATGAAATAATTTAAAACTTTTTATTTGTTGCAATTGATTACCCAATTATATTGTTAAAAACTGCACTAAAAAAACTACCAAATTTTATAATTTTTTATAAAAAATTTTTATTTATGATGGAAATCATTATCACTAACTTGAATTAAAATTTAAGTTAAAACTATTTTTTTGTTGATTAATTTCATTTCATTATTTTTTCGTAATTGTAACTTTATTTCTATTGATTGGTCAATCTTTATAGAGCACGACACTTTTTTTTTTTTATTAAGATAATTTATAGAAAAATAATTTGGTTTAAAATACTTTATATAAATATGTAACTCGATAATTTTTTCAACCTTAAAGTAAAATTATATTCTATAATAATTTCATTAAATTTAACACTTTTTTTAATTTTTCATTTTATAAGTTAAAATTATTATTTTTAATTAATTTAATAACTACAGCAATGAATGAATAATCTCTCAAATGCTGACATTGACTTTTAAAACAAAATAAATTGTATTCAATTATTTATAAAAATATTTTTTAAGAAGGTGAAATAAGAAAATTGAACTTCAAATCTATGCTCATATTGTGTCTATGGACCTGAGAAACTATTGATAAACATTTAATTTTAATGAACATTTATTATTTATTACAAGTTTACACGATTTTAAAAGATTTATTAAATGTCGAAATATAATCTTGACATTTAATGTAATACTAATGACAATAAATTAAAATATCTTCTTTAACTGTTTTGGAAAGATACACTTCTAACATAATAAATACGTAAATGTAATAATTGTGGTTGTATTGCTTTTGGCAGGACATATCCCGGAGATCTTACAAACAGAATGCGCTAAATGCACATATCAACAAAGGAAACAAATAGGACAAGTCATATCATATTTGATTCATAATAAACCCTTTTACTTGAAAATACTATGGGAAAGATTTGATCCAGATAGTATTTATCTTAATAAAATTCTTGTAAATGATGATTTTGAAATAAAAACAATATCAAAAGATCAATTAAATCAACGTGTATAAATAAAAATTAAAATATATACAATGGAGAAATAAAATAATAATAAAAATAATAACTCATTTCATTAAATCTTTTATAGTTAAAATATTAGTTTTAGTTTTAATAAGAATTCTTATTCTTCTGTTAATTCTATAATTTTTAGACGGAATTATACTTTTATAAGTAATACTCTAATTTATAATTTAAAATAAAATTATAAATTAAGATAAACGTTTATAATGTAATGTACGTTACTGACAAATTAATCTAATTATTTAGAATGAACCACGCACCGATAAATATTGAACGATTGCAGTTATAATTTTACTCTAAAAATATAGAAAAAAAAGTGATAACATTACTTTTATTGTTTATTTACAATTTTAAATTTCGAAGTTCATCTAATAATGAGATTAAAATTTAACAGTTAATAAATTTAAATTTTGTAGTCACATTTGGAATAACCTAGTCAAACTTAAATAATAATAATTTGTGATATTTGATTATATTTATTACTATAAATAGTAATAATAATAATAATTAATAGTTGTTAATGAATTATTGATCTAACTCTTTTTTTGTAATAAATTCATATTCATTCGTAAAATGTAAAATAATGTTGTACATTTTTCTCTTTAATCATATTTGATAGTATTTAATTTTATTTACGTTGAATAATTAGTGAACATAATATAATTGTGCATAAAATGTTGTCATGCATATGATTTTATTTGGAGTTTACCTTGAATATAATTGATATTTTTGATTTGTAACTTGTTATAAGTAACTTGAAACATTGTTAATGAATTTTGCACAAAGATCATATTGTTCATTTTTACAAAAACAATACTGTATAATTAAAATAAGTATTATTTTGATTGAAATGTTAGTATTATTTCTAGTTTATAATTATGGTAGACATTTTAGACATTTGATCAATTTATAATCAGTGATTTAATAATTACAACATTTATTTACAAATAAATTGATTTACTGTCTTAACACCTTTTTATAAAGTATAAAAATATTTTTATTTAATAGTTTTGGCAATAAAGCGACCATATTGAATATTCGTTGTATTTGAATTATGTTGTACAACTATTCATTAAATATTTAAACAAGTAATAAATAGTAAAAAATAATATACACCACTTAATTTTTATTAATTGAATAATAAGAATAATTTTGATAATTTTTTTATTAGTTTTTTTTAATTCAATATTTTACTCAATTAATTATTCCTGAATTATTGTTAATGTTTATCTCTTGTACCTTATATGGGTGTCAACTTGGATTTTTCAAATGGTAACACACATAATTAACTAGTATATTTAATAAATAATGATTTAATTTAAATAAAATAACTGATTGATAACAATTTATGGACCAGTATGTTGAAAGTTATTGATGTATTTATAACTTAGCCGGTAAGAGGAGTATTGCCTAAAAATGTGAAGTGGCAAAATAGCAGGGCCCACTCTTCACCTCTAGTCATCATTTAAAATTAAATTTTTCTTAATAACTTAAACTTTTTATCTATTTTTTAGTACTTTTGTTAGGCAACGTTTTGATGGGACTATAACAACTTTAGGAGAAGTACTAATTGAGTTACAAGCATTTTAAAAAATTAAGTGGATATGTAACTCAGTTTTTACGGTGTATGTACACACTTCCTGTGCTATATACCCACTTTATGTTTAAAATGCTAGCGACTCATTAAAATTGAATATTACAATCAGACGAAAATAATAAATCGAAAACAGATGCAGTTTTATTTTTAAACATGTTAAGTTGGTGAAAAATGAACAAATATGACATCAGAATTTGCCATTTCATTCCACTATTTATAATGTACATATAGTACAAATTATAAATCATAAAAAAAATAATCAATGATACTTTTTTTCATTATCCGTTGAGAACTAGCTACATGTTTCTCATCGTAATGTAAATTATTGAAATATCTGGTTGTATATAGCAGGAACCAACCACAAATTTAACTTTATCACTCATATGCACAATAATAAAAACCTGTTAGATACTATCAAATGATAGTCAATTAACAAGAATTGTTTATGTGTACAAACCAAAACTCTACCTCTAGTATAAATGCTCGTTTCATTGTTACAGTCAGCAAAATATTAAATTCATCAAAACCTAACTCTTCACAAGAAATATCCGTGATCAACCAAGTTTCAATTAAAATAAAATATTCAGCATTAAAAAGTGGAATATTACAAGAGGAATTTTACTTCGTAAACCTCTACTATTTTGATAAAAATCAATACATAATTTTTTTAATTTGCTATTACCCTTAAAATATTTGACGACAAAATTATTTTCACCGACTTCTTTATGCAATATAACTGAGTTCTCAATGATTTCATCTGTTAACGTCGAAATAGAGTCAAATCTATACATGCGCACACTTGTTAGTATTGAGGTTCGTTTCGAAATTTAGATTTATCTCTCATTATAAATTTTACATCCGTGATGCTATTTAATGAAATAGTTTATATACGTGTACTTGTAGTTTTCTTATTCAGTCATTTAGTATTAATTACCGATCTCAATATGTCTAAAAAAGTAAAAGATTTTTGTACATACATAGATCACTTAATCCGATTCACTAGATTTAGAGCTAGGTATGTTAAAAAATAAAACATTTTTAGCACAAGCGCAATACTGTAAATAACTTTTGATGTACACTTAATTCAAACTGAATTTTCGCGAAGTATTCTTAAATGGTACAAAGTATAACATACAGTTTGAATGGCATCACGTTTCCTTACATATAAACCAGAATTATATTCCGTGCTTATAGTTATGCTATAATTCTTAAACTCTACGAACAAAGATTTAGATCCTTATTAGAGAAAACATTAAACAAAACATGTAAAAATGTACATGTGTGCATATACACAAATAAAAAGAATACACCATTTGAAATAAAGAAAATTTGCTATGAAAAACATAAGTACAAGTAATTTTTATAAGTCTCACGACTATGACCTTGGACTTCTAAATGTACCATCTGTAACACTTCAAGATAACATCAAACATATTCAAGATTACGATTGCTGCGCAATTATATTTTTCTAAAGGATAATAAATTTAAAATTGTTTATTTAACCTGTAATACACATATTATATATACAGGATGAGTCACTTATCCACTTAATTAAAAGAATAATACAAATAATATTATTAATTTTTTAGCTTCGATGCGAAGCTGAGAAGGTATTGATTTTACTAAGATGTGTTTATTTTTTTTTTTTTTTTTTT